GAAGACCTAGACATTATCCACTGAGCCAAACCGCCTAGGGCAGGATATGACATTTCTTAGCCATCAGCAGTAGACCTTCATTTTTTTCTCCAGGAGTGTGGTGGAAAAAGCCCTAGATCACCTTTTGGATTCTTATACACAAGTTACTAAGAATACTACCAGTAGCATACAGGGAGCTTAGCCAATGAGTGGTCAGAGAAGGTGTTTCCTCTGTAGTTCACACCTATCTTCTCGGATCTCTGGCTCCACCCCTGCCAAGGCCTAAAGCCTCTGGCTCTAGGCAGGAAAACCCCAGCTGGCTCTGATAGCTCGGCTCCACCCCCTGGCCAAGTCCAGCAAGGGCAGATGGAAAACTTGGCTTCCTCCATTGCTGGGGAAACCCAAGTCTCCCTCCTGCTCTCTGTGGCTGCAGGCATCTTGGTTGGGTTTATTTGCATACTCGCTCCTGATTGGCTGGCAGGTGTGGTTGGCAAGCATAGCTTGTGGGTGTATGGAGGTATGGTCGATTTGCATATTACTCTTTTATTTGATAGGATATATATATATATATATATATATATATATATATATATGATTTAAGTGAATTATGGTGATGTTTTGTTTCAAAGGGCTTCATACTTTATTCAAGTTTAAGAAACACCAATATGGGTGACTATGTGACCTGTATACCCAAACCAGGAGTCCTGGAGATATTTATGTTTCCTTCTAGGTTCTCTCACCTCTGTGAAAAGATGGAAGGACCTGGGGCCTTGACACTATAGAATAGGGGTGTCGAACTCAATCAGAGAAGGGGCCAAAATCTAAAATCCAGCCTAAATCGAGGGCCGAATGGTTTACTGAACAGTCATAAATTGTCATTGTGATGGAAACGCAGCGGAGTGCAGTGATGACAGCGCGGTGCGGGCCACATTGCAAGGCCTGGCGGGACGGATTTGGCCCGCGGGCCTTGTGTTTGACACATGTGCTATAGAACATCATGCCAAATCTGACTCTGACTTCTCATACACAGGCAACAATAATTAGTCAGGACTCTATTGGTTGCCCATTGCTGTTGTAACACGTGGCCACAAACTTATTGGCTTAAAATACAAATGCCTTCTTACAATTCTGGGGTCAGGAACCCAAAATCAGTTCACTGAGCTGACGTCCAGAAATCAGCAGGGCTGGTTCCTTCTGGAGACTCTAGGGGAGAACCTGTTTCCTTACCTTTGCCAACTTCTAGAAGCCGCCTGCACACCTCAGCGTGTGGTCTCTCTCTTCATCTTCAAAGCCAGCACTGTGGCATCTTCAAGTCTCTCTCTTGCCCTCCACATGTCCTCTGAGTCTATCATCACGTCTCCTTTTCTGACTCTGACCCTGCTGCTGCCTTATAAAAAACCCTCATGATCACATTGGGCTCACCTGGATAGTCCAGGATACTCTATCTCAAGATCCTTCATTTAATCACATATGCAAAGTCCCTTTTGCCAAGTAAGTTAATAAATTCATGAGTGCCAGGGATTTAAATTAAGGTGACCAGAGGTCCTGCCAAAATCGGGACGTCTAGTCTCCTTTTAAAGGCATCTTTGAGAGGCCTTTATTCAGTCTACCACAAGAGGAGGCAGATAAATCCTATTTTATTTTATTCCTCTCCCCCCACCCCCAACCAATACGAGGCTTTTATCGCCTCTTTAAAAAATTGCAACGTGTGACAAATCATTCCGCATCTTGGTGTTTCTATAGCTGGATGACTTAAGAGCATAGTCATCAGCTTGCTGACCTGTTCCTTTTTCAGAAACGTAGATACCATCCAAGATTGTTCTGATATCCTTGTTTTCAACTGCCGTGGCTCGCTGAATCAAAGCAGCTGAATTCGATACAAGTTCAATGTCATTTCCTCCAAGCATCAACTCATCTTTCTGGAGATACTGAACAGGCAATGCCTGACTTCATTGCAATTCTACAGATGTATTTTTTTGCCCAAGAAATTTCTTAATTTCAACAAGAGAACCATTCTCCTGAAGATTGATCGATGTTGATGGGTAAGTGAGCATACCCAGCTTCATCTTATAACACAAGCCCTCATGTTCTGTGCGTGACTGTGGATAGTGTGAACCAGGGCCAGTTGCTTTCTATTTCTCCACCATTTGTCAACCAGGAGCCTCTTCTTTTTCTTTCCAAGGAGACTGAGTTCCACATGGATGTGGTTGAAGTCCCTCCCCAGGGTACCTCCAGGGACCCTCACAATAACTGTGCGTCCTTCAGAGTGATGTTCTCATTTTCTGGGATGTTGAGTAGTCTGATTGTTGAGAATGGTCTTCATTCTCCCAGTAGATGCAGCAATGGGTAATAAATGGTGTTGTAAATGACTGTTCTTTTCACCAGAGGTTTGTTCCACTATGACAGGGAATTTTGTTGCAATTGTTCACCAATGTTTTCTCAGCTTCCTGCTCATGCAGCGATGGTCAACCTGATACTGCTCATCTAAACATACACATTTTAGAGAAGCTATGGGGGATATCATGTAAGAAGGAAGCCTCTGTCTCTAAGACACATGTGTCAAACACAAGGCCCGTGGGCCAAATCCGTCCCGCCAGGCCTTGCAATGTGGCCCGCAAGGTGCTGTCATCACTGCACTCCGCTGCGTTTCCATCACAATGACAGTTTATGACTGTTCAGTAAACCATTCGGCCCGCGATTTAGGCTGGATTTTAGATTTTGGCCCCTTCTCTGATTGAGTTTGACACCCCTACTCTAAGAAGTCACAAATGTCCCATTTCCCCCTCTGGATCTCAATTTTATTCAAATAAAGAAGGCAGTAATCACATTGTTTGAATCTCCTCCTTGGAGGAAGAGGGAGAAGAAGTCTTTAAAATTCCACCACCAGATTCCTTCTTTTGACAGATGCTCAACGTAAAAGTTTGAGTTATACAGGCCCAAACGTTGTGCTCTGTTTTCTGTTAAAGTATTGAACTTTTTCACATAAGAAGTAATAAAGATTGAGCCTTTTTTTTTTTTTAACCTACCACATCCTGAGTTCAGTTTTATACCTTTTCACTGATGTAGTTGAAATTCTCTAAGTCTCTCTCTTTCTGTCTCTGTCTCTCTTTTCAACAATTCCCTGCTGAGAACAACTGCCAGTACTCTTCCAGACATGCCCTGGGGGTGACATACTGTGGCAACTGCCTACTTAAACTGTTTGATTGATAATGTCATGAATGCTTTCTTTAGGAGACAGCGTATGGTTATGGAAACTACCCCAATTATCACCGATAAGTAATTATGTTGATCTAGATGATTTGTTTGTGGATCCGTCCTCGCTGGTTTTCTTGAGAACTAAGAGAGACAATATCAACATTCTCCTCTCTTTCAATTTTAAACTTTAAGGATTTGCTTCCCTTTCAATCAAACTTCATAAACTTTGAGAGCCTCATTTCCATTAAGTCAGAAATGTGAGCCACCAGAATCACCTAACCAGCATAGGTAAAGTGAATTAGAAATCAGTTTTTCTAGTTATTGCAATATCAGTGAGCCCCTTCAAGACAGTTGTTTTTGTGATCAATGTGATGAAAGTTCTAAGTCCTCTCTTATGCTTATATGTATATGAGCATTTTTGGGGGAGAAAACTAACTTTATTACCACAATCACATAATTGTATCTCTATCTCTATCTCTATCTCTATCTCTATCTCTATATCTCTATCTCTGTCTCTGTCTCTCTGCGTTTCAGCACGTACACACATTTTTTTTCCCCCCCACACTATTTCAGAAGGTTCTTGACCTCTGCTTAGAGAACACATGCTCTGGGGGAAATTATGTCAACCAGTCAACATGTGTAAAATGGAATCTTGTTAGATTTCCTCTCAGGGTTATTATATGATTACAGGAGAGATAATATAGGAAGACATATTTTAAAGTCCCAAACAAGCATGAGGAATGATCATTTTCAATGCACTTGCCAGTTCCCTCTTCATCTTCACGCTGACTGCCAGTTCCATCATTCGGCTCTCAGCTCCACTGTCACCTCCTCAGAGCAGCCTGCGGGACCACCGGATCCAGAGGAGCCCCTTCCCCATCACTCTCAAGTCCACCATCCTGCTTTATTTTAGTCAGGACATTTCTCACATATGGCTCGATAGTTTCATTTTTGCTTGCTTATTGATTACTGATTGAGTCTCTTCACACACTAAAATAAAAGTCCTCGAGGGCAGAGCCCTGTCTTGTATCCCCTAAACTTGTCACATGGCTACAGTTCTTGAGACATGGTGGACGCTCAAATTTTGGAGAGTCAGGATAGCAATGGTTGAAGTCTAGCTGGCTTTGAAACCCAGATTTTAAATTTACTAGGTGGGTGACATTCGGCAGGTAAGCTTCTCAGTGAAAATGAGGGACTCTGATAACGTGTACTGCACAGATTTGTTAATACATGTGACGTACCTTGAACAGTGCTCGGCCCATGGTGAGTCTTAAGCTGTTTTTTTTTTCTTCTCTTCAATGAATGGAGTGTTAAGACATTACTATGAGGACACTTGATCTTTTGTTTCAGATATGCTCAGTTTCCGCATATGTAAAGACTTACGCTTTTAGGTAAAACTGATTGCAGCGTCCCACTGCACTGTCATCCTCGCTGCTCAGCGGAAGGGGAGGCGCGGCCCCTCATTAGACAGAAGTCCCCTGTCACCCCCCGGTGGCACTACTCGGGGTTCTTTCAGGCCGGGGATGTCCGAGCCCTCGCGGGGAGGTTCTCCTAGGGCAGAAAGGCCCGGCCAGGGAGGCCCAGAGTCGCGCCCGGAACACCGGGGACGCTCCTGGGACTTCCCCAAAACCTAGGCAGACCTGCGGGGCCGGGACGCTGCTGGGACCCACTCCGGCCTCCGGTCTCAAAGGGGCGGCAGGCGGGGCGGAGAACCGGTCCCACCTGCAGTAGTAAAAGGGGGCGGGGCTATGGGAGGACTGGGCGGGGCGGCTGGGGGCCAGGGCGGGGCATCCGGGAAAGGGGCGGGGTTATGGGAGGACGGGGCGGGGCGGCCGGGGGCGGGGCTGGCGAGCGCCGAGCTCAGGACTCGGCGGCGCCCGCCGGACCTCACACTCTCCGGGCCTCCGCGCAGCCGGCGCGCTCCAGCCAGGTAAGGGCGCCGCGGTCCGCAGGGCTGCCCGGGGCCGGGGCTGCGGCCCTAAGGGACGGGGACGGGTGGGGGCGGGACAACGCGGGCCGGGGATGGGCGCGGGGCGAGATGGCTTTCTCGCGCTCGGAGACTGACCAGGGACCAACCCTCGTGGAACGAGGAAGCGTCTCTCTCTCCTGCGCCCCGCGGTGAGCTGTGAGCGCGGGCGCGGCACCGCGGGGAGGGACCCGGCCCCCGAAGGTCCGGAGACGGGACAGGTGCGCGGTCCCGGCGGCCGCCGCCTCTCCGCCTCCGGCCTCCGGCGCTGGCCTCTCCCAGGAGCAGCCGCCCCTTTCCCCGGCCGAGGCCGCTCTGCTCGGGGCGAGTTCGGCGCCGGGTTCGCTGCCCAGCCGCGCGGCGGGGGAGAGCCCCCTTTCTGCTTGGGCGGCTGCGCGGGCTGGGGTGAAAGTTGGCAGCATCCACGGAGACATTCCTCACTGCACGTGTCCGAGCGCCTCGCCCCTCCAAGCGCTCTCTCTCTCTCTCTCTCTCTCTCTCTCTCTCTCTCTCTCTCTCTCTCTCTCTCTCTCTCTCTCTCTCTTTCTAGGAAGTTGTATTTGAATCTTAAAAATAGGGGTTCGGCCGAAACCGGTGTGGCTCAGTGGATAGAGCGTCGGCCTGCGGACTGAAGGGTCCCGGGTTCGATTCCGGTCAAGGGCTTGTACCTGGGTTGCGGGCACATCCCTAGTGGGGGGTGTGCAGGAGGCAGCTGGTCGATATTTCTCTCTCTTCTATGTTTCTAACTATCTCTCTCCCTTCCTCTCTGTAAAAAATCAATAAATCAATAAAATACATTAAAACAAACAAACAACAACAACAACAACAACAACAAACACACACAGGGGTTCGGGGGATGCATGTATCGGAAAAACTAGGGCCGTGACCCAGGAGTGTGCCCCTTTCCTCGAATCCTAACCTCAGGGTTTGGAAATCGTCTCCTCTGTGGTCATTCGTTGGTTGGAAACCGGCATATCTGATGCGAAGGCTCGATCTCAGTGGGAACTGGTCACAACGGGATGGTTGGTGGCTACTGGGTTTGAAGGCGATCCAAGACAGTTAAGCGTTTTGGGCATATAGCCTGTGGTTTTTTTTTTTTTTTTTTTTTTCCAGTGAGTGCCCCTTTTTCCACTTAGGAAATTCTGAGAGTTTGTTCTCTTCCAGATGGTTCTCCCCTTAAAGAGCTGGGGAGAAAAAAAACCCGACAAACCAATGAGCTTCCTAAATGAGTTTAGTGATTAGCAGGTTAATTTGTGGCACTGGTAGCTCCTTAGTCGGCAAGAATCACAAGTGGTAGGAAATGCTATGATTTATATGGAGAAAAGAGAAGTGTGTGTAATCTTCTCATTATGTATTTGAAAGTATTTTTTAAATTTAGTTACTTTTTCAGTGTCTAGGGAAGATCTAGACTCCCCATACTCCAATTAATCTGCTCAATATATTACTACTCTTGCCAACTCATGCTTACTGCAGTGTGTTTCTGTTAATGAACTTGATTCTTCTCAGAAGGATGGCTTGTGGAACTGTATAGTAAACACATGCAAATCAGTGCTGTGCTTAATTGGCAACACCTTTGCCCCACATAGGTCCTTAAGCTACTTTTTATATCTTCCTGATTAGAATATAGGATATTAATGTACTAGAGGCCCAGTGCATGAAAATTTATGTGCATGGGGTCCCTCAGCCCAGCCTGCACCCTCTTACAGTCTGGGACCCCTGGGGGATGCCCACCTGCTGGCTTAGGCCTGTTCTCTGAGAACAGATGGTCTAAAAGAAATAATCAGATCTTTGGGTAAGAATTTTTTAAAAAGGTAATGTTCACCTGAAAATTCACTGCTGGCAGGACTGAGGGGACTGGGCACCACCATCTTGTGGCTGTGGGTGCCATCATCTTGTGAGGGTGTGAGGGTCAATTAGCATATTACCTCTTTATTATATAGGATGTTCTACACTTTCAACCTGAAGTGTGCCTATTTATTCTGTATCAAGACCAAGACAGTCATGTTTTCTCAGCTAATAGTTACTCTCAGGCAGGAGCCATGCTTTATCAAATCATAGCAAAGCTCAGCGAATGGTGGCTTAACTTTCCCTGAAGCTGGCCCTTGACAAGATGGTTGAAGGGATTGTGGGCAGTGTCTGGACACCTTAATGCTTGGGAAAGAATTGTTGGTCGTCTTCTGAGCATCCAGAGTGCTGGGAGTCTGGGCCTTGGGTCTCCAAGGACACCTCGCCTACTGGTTCCTCAGGTATATGGGGTTGGTGCCTACCCGCTCTCTTCTAGCTCCTGGTGGGCCCTCCCCCTCCCCAGTTGCCATCCTTGGGGAGAATCACCTTATTGGACAGGACAGGGAGACTTGGTCCACATGGTTGATAGGAGTGTTGATCCTCAAGCTTTGTGCTGCGTTCCTCATGGATGCTCAGTTAACTCTCTGCTGACAACAGTGTCACTTGTTTCAGAGCTCTTACTAATGCCCTCTTACCCAGGCTACACAGGCAAAGTGGAGCAACTGAAATTGAACTCAGATCAGCTGCTTAGGGGGGTACCTGCCTTGGTTCGATTAGGGTCATAAGCTGTGTTAGAAAGAAGTGAAATTGGCCCATGGTCACTGGCAGTTGTAAAGTTACTCTGTACCATGTGGTTATGCCACGAGAATAATAGCTTTGGTGAAAAGAACCCAGAGGTGAGGGGCTTAGTCCTTGCCTCCATCTCCAAACTTGTGTTCCCCTGGCCTCAACTTATTGTCTCTACTCTAGCTCAACCAGTCCTTCCTTGGATTGAGTTATAACTATGAACTTTCCCACCACCTTTGACTACTCAACTCAGAGCTCAGATGACCACAGTTACTGTGGTTTAGAAAATTACATTTTCTTTTGTTTAGAGGAATTATAGATTTCTCAACTAATCTCTACAGAGAGTAGATGGTTCAGTCATGGCACTGTACTGCCCTTTTCCCTGCTTTACCAGTAATAAACATTTTCTGACCAGTCTGGACATATTCTCTCTCCGAGTCCAGGTGAGACCTCAGATTCCTTCTTTTACCATTCTCAGCATCCATTCCCAATCGGTCACAGTTGTCATGGGGAAGCTCTCTAGCCCTAGCTTAGATAGTAAGTATATAGTTATTGGTCATAGAGCCCTTGTTTCTATTTCTCAAATTCACTTTGTCTATGAGGACTTATCCCATCACCTCGGCCTCCGACTCTGTAGCCTCTCAAGGAAGCTCAGCTTCTGTCACTCTAGTATTTTAATCATAAAGGCGGGCCTGGTGTCATGGGTGGCCCTGTGGCCTGGATGGAAATTATCATTGTTTGCTTCTGAAGGCCACTTTGTCGCACAATTGCCTTACAAGCAGCAGCACCCTCTCTTCCTGTTTCAAAGCTCATGCCCTTCTTGGAATGTGCACCAAGTTCCTGTTTCTGAGCAGAGAGGACTGCTCCTCCAGACCATCACACATTTCCCAATCCTGTTTCACCAGTTGAGTCATCCATTCCTCAGGCTCCCTTAGGGCACAGTGACTTCTAAAGGCCTTCTACACCAGCAGCTTGATACTATCAACCTGACTTTATGGTTGCCCACAGAGGAATGATGACAAGTCAACTTCCACTGAAATAGGACGAGCATTGTTCCCCAACCTCCTTATCTGTAAGGAAAAAGCCAAGCTCTGCTCCCAGGGTGGTGGCTATGCATTGGGAATACAGGAAACACCAGGGCTGCAGTTGCTATGGAGCGGGAGGTGCAGGAGTGACTCGCTCTCTGGAGGGTGACAGTGAAGGGTGAGATGGTTGGAAAACATGTACTTTGCTAGAACCCACTAGGGACCATTAGGAATGAAAGCGTGGCCAACAGGATTACCTGCAGTGCTCCTTCCTGCTTCTGTGTGTCCACAGGTGTTCTTCCTTCACTAAATGAAACATTAGAAGCCATTGCAACCTCTCTTTCCATGCAGCCTAGTTTCGCTCTACTGTGCTAAGTGCTTCACATAAGTTCTTTTTGTCTTTAGCTGATTGTAAACTCTCCTAAGGGAGAGCACAGTGCTTGATCAATGCTTAATGCACTGAATGAATCTTCTAGATCAGCGTTTTTCAACCGCTGTTCGGCGGCACACTAGTGTGCCACGAGATGTTGCCTGGTGTGCCGTAGGTGCAGACAAGACAAGAATTTTATAATTTTTCACTATTTTGTTTACTTAATATTTCATAATAAAGTAATTATAAAATACTTTCTTTGTGTTTATTTGATTCCTATTCAAGAGAATTACTTTATATATAGTCAATATAGGCACAGAGTTAAATTTTTTAACATTTTCTAATGGTGGTGTGCCTCGTGATTTTTTTCATGAAACAAGTGTGCCTTTGCCCAAAAAAGGCTGAAAACATTGATATAAGGCATCCCGCGAAAATAAGGCCTATCTCCAGACTCTTGATATTGCAATAAACAAGCCATTCAAAGACAATTTGCGCATGGAAATTAATGACTACATTGAAAATAGAATGGAGAGAAATCAGCGTGGAAACTTTGTGAAACCTAAACTGCAAGAAGTTGTGACTTGGGTGAAGAATTCATGGGAGAAAATCACTGACAGTTGCATTGCAAATGCACTGCAAGCAGGCTACCTTGACAAGAAGTACTCATTTAGCGGAAACCGGTTTGGCTCAGTGGTAGAGCATCGGTCTGCGGACTGAAAGGTCCCAGGTTCGATTCCGGTCAAGGGCATGTACATTGGTTGCGGGCACATCCCCAGTAGGGGGTGTGCAAGAGGCAGCTGGTCAATGTTTCCCTCTCCCTTCCTCTCTGTGAAAAATCAATAAAATATATATATATATATATATATATATATATATATATATATATATATAAAGAAGTACTCATTTAAAGACAGTGCTATTGCTAAACATGAGAGATTTGGTCCACTGATCCTGAAGGAAATGGAGTCACAAGAAATTCAATTGGATTGTTATGATGA